AATTCCAAATTTTGGAGATTTGGGAGAGGGACAGAAATACTTAGGCTTACCGGGGAGGGAAACTCAGAATTTGGGGAGGGAAAATTGGGAATATGTGGAGGGAAAGGAAAATGTATACAGACGGCTAAAATAAAAGAGGAAAAAATTGTCTTTAAGAAATAGGGAATTATACAGACAGAATAGGCTAATTCGTCTGTATAAATAGATATATACAAACGGATAATGATTACCGTTAGAATATATATACTTTATACAGATGGATAATTGGTAAACTGTTAGTATAAACCTAATCTATACTAACGGATATATTTTTCCGGTATAGACCAATGTATACTGATTGCTTATGTTTTTCGTTGGTATACATGATTTATACAGACGGATTTTAATCCGTTAGTATAGACTTCCGTTGGCAAAGGGCATTTTGCTTGTAGTGATAAATCTTCCCTCATACTTTCAAGTTCAATGAAATTAGCTCTCTTTCATTTTAGTTGAAATAAATTAACTAAAATCTAACAAATGATATAATTATACATCATTATTTCATCTTTCTCCTTTACTATTTGTTAAGCTCTTACTGATTTGACAATTTTGGGATCATTTTTTTTTATGACATTGCATATATTTTCTTTACAAATAGCCAAGTTGGATTGGTTAACTCTTTATTGGTAGCAAATTTGATATTGAGAAAAGAAACTGTCATGTCTTTAGAAAAATGGCCCCAAGATTGTCAAATTAGTAAGAACTTAACAATATTGAAGAGGAAAGATGAAATAGTAACATATAATTATGTCACTTGTTAAATTTTGGAACAATTTATTTCGACCAAAATGTAGGAGGGCAAATTTCACTTAGCTTGAAAGTATGAAGGGAGATTTACTTCAGAAAAAGGTATGGGGGCTCATTTCAATAATCCCTTAAAGTATAGGGGTATATATACACTTTTCACCTTATACATATATAGAGTAAAGATCCACTTATACACAAATTTTACATTTTACATTTATATAAAATCTCAATCATTCATCTCTCTACTCTTCCCCGTTGAAACTTATTTATATTTATTAAAAATAATTATTTTTTTTATCTAAAAAATTATGATAAATCTCAAACTATTAAAAGTGAGTATGAATTATCAAAATTTTATGTAAGTAAAATGTGAAAAATTTTTGTGTAAATTAATCCCTCCATATATATATATATATATATCTAAATCAAAACTAATATATATATATATATAAATCAAAACGAAAAATAACAATGATACGAAACAAAAACTAAATATCTTTCACTAACGGAATTGAATTTGAAAGTCACACGAAGAGTATGTATAATATAGCTGAAATGCTATAAAACCACATCAAAATAGAGGTCCTCAATAGATGGATATATTTGACATTTCTTAGGGACCCAACATGCGATGATTGGATGCTGAAAGAAAAAAAAAAAAAAAAAAACTTTTGTTAAGACAACAAAAGAAATAAAATTAGTTGTTCATAAATTGATCTCAATCCACTTATTTTATTTTAAGCACTGGAAAGAATAGTAATTTACTGAATTGAAGGTGTAGAGGTTTCAAAACAACCCTAGTTATTTTCCTCTGAAGCATGGAATAGTAAATTATTGAATTGAAGATTAAAAGGTCCTAAAATAGCAGAGTTTTAGTAGCTAGGTGTAATTTCCCAAAATGTAGTTTCAGTCCTTAATAATATTGGATTTTATTATATAATTTATCCTCTTATATTAAAAATACTATATTAATTACCACTATTTTTTATAAAATATAAAACAACTATAAAATGAGAATTTTAACACACACATATATTAGGAGAATATGTATGTATATTATATATATAAAGGAAAGATCCATTTACACAAGTTCTATACATTATACTTATATAAAATCTCAATGGATAATTTTTTCACTTCTAATCGTTGAGATTTATTTATACTTATTAAAGATAATTATTTTTTTATCTAAAAAGTTATAATAAATCTCAACCATTGAAAAATGGAAAGATTATCGGTTGAAATTTTATATAAATATAATGTGTAAAATTTATGTATAAGTAAATTTCTACTCATATATATATAGGAAAAATGCATATTAATACTGACCTCCACAAAAAATTGGAGTCCCACATATACATAGGAAAAGTTCATGTTAATGCTGACTTCCATAAAAAATTGAAGTCCTAACTTTAAAAACATCACCTTTCAGTAAATATTTTTAAAAACTAATTATTAGATTTAATATTTTATTGATATATATTATGCATATCAATTTTCATGTTGATTTAAAATCCATAATCATTCGATTAGGAAACTTTTACTTTCTAATATACATTTAATGAAGATAAATTTTTTATAATCAATGAATTATTTATATATATTCAATCAATTTGAAAATTGATATACATGATCTACATGAATGGAATTTTAAATCTAAGGGTTAATTTTTGAAAATATTCATTCAAGAATTGTGTTTTTGAAGTTGAGACTAATTTTTTAGAGGTCGAGACTAATATGCATTATCATCTCTCTCTATGTATATATGAATTAGGATCTATTTACATACAACTGTTACACACAACACTTGTATACAATTTCGATCATTCATCTTCTGACTTTGAATGCTTGAGATTCATTATAACTTTTTAAATAAAAAGACAGTTATCTTTAAAAAATAAGATAAAAAGTGGATAAATCTTAACCATTTATAGTGAAGAGATAAGTTATTAAAATTTTATATAAATGATATATGTAAAAATTATGTGTAAGTAGATCCTAATTTCTTATTTATATACCTATAAACAAATTAAGAATGGTATAAACAAGGAATGGATTGCTTTAACAATAACCGTAAAAACTTGATCTAGAACTTGTCCATTTGCTTTTGAGATGTACAGAGACTATTTTGTTTTCTTCCGAGTTTCAAGATTTTGCTCCACATCTTGCCTCTTAATTTTTACAATGGTATAACATGATATTTGTATTTCTTTATTTTGGTGCCTTTGCCTTCTTTAGAATCTTGAAAGTAAGAGAATATGGTGAAAAATCAACTTAGAATTCTTTATAAGAAAACATATATTACTTAGGCATCTCAAATACATATTAAAACCAAATGAAGTTATACCTAGAAGTGATATAAATAAACCTATATTAAATATTAGCTCATTGACTTGATATAGTGAACAACATGAGTGAAAACTTCCATGAGTTACGAAATACTATCATTTAGACACTTACCTTTAGGGCTTACAGCGCAATTTAGTTTTGTAACCTTTTATAGGCTTAGAGAAAGTAGATTGAGAGTTCTAACTACTACCAACATTTTACTTGGATGTAATACTAATTAAGATTTAAACAAAAGAAAGAGAAATAGCATCTACATGAATAGTTGTTGAATGTCAGAAGTGTTAAATGCATTTGAAACTGAATTGAGTTTTTAAAAAAATTTAGCAATAATAATTAGTAATTTTGTAAGAAAAAGTAAAAAGATAATCTCAAATTGTGAGTATTGCATTGAGTATTTGAGAAGGAGAGAAGAA